AATTTAATCCAATTAAATTTTTTGACTGTATCGTTTTAATTAAATTAACGACATATTGAATAGTAGTACGGCTTATAGAAATAATAAATGATTATAAATTATAAGTAACACAAATTGTCAATATAATTTGACATTATGAATTTTAGTGTGTGGCTTGCAGTAACATTGTTGTCTAGATGGAACAAAATGAGAAATCAATAAACAGTTAATGTCGCAGTATAGTATTCGAAGCAACACGTTCGGATGCTTTAAGTGTATCCCTTGCGTCTCGACAAGTTCTAATTCGGTGCACAATAATCGAGTCTGATCAAAACCGGATCTCCTTTTATTCCCTATTGACCTGGACACAATCGATGCCGATCCGAGGAAAACTTCTCCGAATCGCCTCAGAAACGCGAGACCGAGTTTCGCCGGACACGTTCCACCGTGTCGAAGTTTCCATCGCACGCTTAAAGCTCATCAGCGCCGAACCGGACTGTTTCGGTTGGAAGTTAAAATCAACGGAGGTTGTTCCTTGTTTTCGCCGACGCGAACGGAAAAGACGAACACGATTACCGATAGAAACTTATCTGTCCGTCTTTCTCTCAAGGTACTCGAGAGTGAGAGGGTGAATTTGTTCGGAATTAGTCCTTGCTCCGATAAAACGTAACTTTATTTATGCACGTTACTTTGTAGGGGAGTTCACGAGATTTTCTACTACTCTTGTGGTTGACAGAGGTGCGAATTTCAATGAGAATGTATAGTTTCGCACTCAAAGGGATGAAATTAAATCTATGAAATTTTAATTACACGATTTTTAAAGACGCTTTTATATTAAGTTGAAGCAAATTAGAAGTATCCTTAATATAACTTAATATAAATTACGTTAATCAGACTCTGTTGAGAGTGATAGCAAAAAGACCTGTTTTTTCTCCCATTTTTTGGACCTCGAATTTCAAACTTTTTTTAATGCCAAATAGTACTATATGATGTAACATTAATCCTAGAAAAATTGTAAGATGAACATAGGTACGGTTCCAGAGAAGGGACGAAAGTGATGGTTTTTCATGACCCATGAAAATACACGAAATTCTTCAAGAGTGTCCAAGAAATAAAATATGTATTTAACGAAGTGAAACATATCGTTTCTTATGGATTTTTTACGCCAGATTCAAATATGACCTTAGTTTTCATTTAACATGAAAATTCTCCGAGATAGATGGAGTTGAAGTGACACTTGACGCCGCCTCTCGGCCTCTCACAGATCGGGATGCTTTCTACTGTGAGTCTCATGGCTCTTACAGATCGGGATGCTTTTTTAATGTGAGTCCCCTTGCTTCTCACTATGCAGGGTTGTTTTATGAATCATGATAGATACATTGCATATTTCAGGATTGGGTATTTTTATCCCATGGTGTTGAGCAAATCCAAGGAACCATACAATTAATAGGGAATGTATTTTCAGGGTGCTTTATAAAGCACGCTGATTCTCATAAATGAAATAGTGGTGAACAGTAGATCGTTTTCTGAACAATGAATGACGTAGATGATCCATTCGACAAAATATATCCTTAATATTACCAATGAACTTCAGCTACACATTCTTCCTTATGCAATAATTTCTTGACTGGAAATCATCACTTTCCCCTCCTTGTATCTCCGGAACCGTGCTTATGCTCATCTTGAAATTTTACTGGGATTAATGTTTCATCTAATAGTACTATTTGTCATAGTACTATTTGCCAAAAAAAGTTTGAAATTCGAGGTCCAAAAAATAGGTGAAATTTGACATCACTCTTTAAATTGGAAAGTTTTTTTTTACATTTTACGCGGAATGTTCCATATAATACGTAAAAAGAAAAAAAATGTTGCAGAACGCGCAGTAATTAAAGTCTAGTTAATTTTACGTTCGACATTTCTGCGTTTCCACGTTTCATGTATTACTCATATAATTGATATTACATTTTTGATCGTACAACAAATATTTCGAATTTATTGATTGGCAATAAAATAGAGAGATCTGACAACTTTTCGTTCTTGTAGCTAATCAATAAGCTTGAAATGCTTTGCCATACGACACATATAATACCTAAGACTCTTTAATTTTAAGTCATTGCTCAGCATTCGTATACAAGCATGCATGATACATTGCAATTTAATACCTTCAGATCTAAATTAAATTAAACATTGAAATAAAAAAATTTAGTTTAAAAACATTTATTGGAATCAAAAAATAAAATAAAATTAGTTTAAAAAAAATTAAATTTGTTTCAATTTACTCAAAAATACCCGGAATTTCTTTTAAAAAAAAATTAAATTTGTTTCAATTTATTTAAAAATACCCGGAATTTCTTTTAAAAAAAATTAAATTTGTTTCAATTTACTCAAAAATACCCGGAATTTCTTTGAAAGACGCGCGCGTGTCAATGATATGTTAAATTTCTTTTTTCCGCTATGTTGGATTGTCCTTGATATGGATGCTGAGTTTGAGCGCGATTTATCATTTAGTTCAATTTAGTTTGTTTATGGCAGCCGTTTATGTCAATCTACCTTAAATGCGTTCGTCAGATTTTATAATGGAAAAAATATTGAACATAAAGAGTGTATTTGAAATTTTGTGTTGCTAACGAAATTTCTTGTGCCGACGCGACGTATTAAAAATGTTACAAAAAGTCTACGGAAACCCTTTTCTCTCGAAAACACAAGCGTATGAAAGATACAAATTGTTTAAACATGACCGTGAAGCCGCCTTAATATAGATATTAATAAGTGCTTATAAAAGTACTTTAATAAGATAATTTATACTAAATAATTAGTTTTTTTCGAAATATGAATTATTTTTTTAATGTATGCATTATTACATATATTTAATCTTTGATAACGTTAATAAAATTAATAATATTAATTTCAACAAAAAATGCGTCCAAATTTGATATATTATACATTATAATATGCGCCGGGTTTAAAGGAAGTTAAATAGTGCGTGATTTTAATTAATAGTCAATGAGCGAATAGGATTCAATCGTACACTGTTAAATTTTGGAACGATAGTTAAATTTGACACTGTCAATATATAGTGTCACATTAGGTTTTAACAATGTAAATTTAACGGTATATTGTGGTCATGGAGCTTCGATTGAAACCTATATTTACTGAAAGGCGCTATTTTGTATCAATGGGCCTCGTAAAACGATCGTGGCTTTATGTTTATCGTTCTTGCTATAATATTTGAAAACTCAATTCCATCTGAACCGTAACATAGGTTTTTACGAGAGCAATTGAAACGAAGGTGTTAACGCTTGCTCATTTTTTTACGCCCACTGTCGCGAAATTTAATAGTAAAAATTAATTCTGTATTACGTACGATTATGAGATTTCACAGTTACTGCTAGGAAGAAGACTAATTTTGAATTCAGAAAATAAGAATCAATTTAATATTATCATGTTACTAAAATCGTGGAAGTGAAATTTTTTCTAAGAATAATTTTTATTATATTCGATACATCTTTTATATCAAATTGTAATTAGCAGGATAATAAAAATACAGTTTCAAGCTTGAGACAAAACCGCTTTCTGATTTGCACTCTAATACTGATGCCGTTCCATGACGCATATTGCTGTATACGCTTATTCGTGCATCAAAAATTCGACCAATTGCTTCTATTCAATTAAAAACTTTATAATGGCGGGGCAGAATGTCAGCGATTGATCGGGTTTTTCTATACGTGATTATACATGCGTATCAGCGATACGCATCATGGGATGGCATCTTTATTGTAACAATCCTGAGATGCATTCAGATTCCCATCCGAGTGCTTCTCCGGTGTTATGTCATCTTTGTTTAATGTTCAATAAATAATAAGAATAGAATGATCCCTGGATGGCACTCGGATGGAAATCTAAACAATGAGAAATAACAATGGATTCGACATCGATTCAAGTAGGATAGTCCTGAACGTGTACTAGTGAATGTTCTCAGAAGTGTAAGCTTTAGCTAGTCTTTATCTCAAAATACCACAAAGGATCCTATTGCGATTCTTTTTAGAACATTAACCTCTTATCACTCTTATCACTCTAGTCGCCCGAGTCTTAAACCACGCACATTTATTAACTGATTCAAAAATTAGTGCAAATACAATATAAAAGATAAATAACGCGATGACTATTTGTTCCTCGCTATTAAAAAATAATCAATATTAGAATCTTTTTAAAAAATAATCATTTTAACTGATTATTTTAGATATTTAGTTTTCACTAAAAAATTTATAAATACTTTCAATCGATCATTTTATACTTTAGTAATCAGTAATTAAAAATTAGTAATTAAATATTAATTTTATTTATGTAATTGTTTTCAGTGTTTCCATGTTGTTATAGAATAAATTTTTTTAATTACGATATATATTATACTTACTACTTATTGATAATTTATATGTAATGCAATGACACTTATTTCTTATTAACTTCACAAAATATTGTCTACTTTCTTGCAATAATCCCTACAAACTGTTTACACATTAATATTATTGCCTCACAGCCGACTGTCTTATTGAAATCTTCAACGGCTTAAAAATAAGAGAAAAACGGTCTACTAAATGATTTTTCCCATCTTCGTGACGATATAAGATAAACGCAGATCAGCGAACTCACTGTGATATTATAGCGTCAATATATCTGAACTAAAACACACGCTGCGTTAATTTCTCCATCCGACAGGTCAATTAACTCACAATCGAACAAAGCATCGAGTAGGCTATTGAGTAGTATGCGTTCATTAGGATTAAGGATACTTGGATTAATCAGGAATATGCCGATCTTTCAGTTGATAACTCTCTAAGTAGACTTGTCAGTTAAGTTATGAACCGAGAAACAATTTGAGAATCGCATAGCAATCTTCTGCTAACATTAACTCTTCATCTTTCACTTAATCTTAAATTGTTTTTTAATCGGCGCGTTAATTAATTTCAGTAACACTCTCTAACACGAAAGCGAAAAAGTTATTCTACAACATCGAGGAATACCTCGAGGATCATGTTGTTTGCACAAATGTTAGTTCTTGATCTTCCACCTGATCTTGAATCTTGATGCATTAATCGTCTGCCACGTTTCATTCCTGAGAGTTTCGTTCAAATTTCACAGAGAAGCGAGAAACGAAGCGACAGAGCGGAAAAGAAAAGTGGTGATATTGCGGCTGACGTTTGTCACAATTTTGTCACAAATCTTTTATTTTGCGGAAGTAAACAAAGCCACGAGGGTAGAAAGTTACCGAAAATATAAGTGAACTACCCCTTTTTTTTCTACGAACCGACAATACTCTCTCCTGTTCTTCCGGCCTGCGAGACGAGAGAGCACTGCGTACTCCTCCGAAAGCAACCCCTGATTCGAAGCCACCTCCCTCTACTCTTGCTTCCGAACCACCGCTGTTCCCCCTCTCACTCTCTGTCCTCTTCCTCTCGCGCTTTCTGTCGCGTTTGCCAATTTGCCACTCCTCTTTCTATTTCTCTTTTCCTTTCCCTTCCTTTCGTTCCTTTTCTATCTCTCTGAGAATTCTATCTAAAATCTCTCTCACTGTCTATCTTATTCTATCTTCGCACTCCGTCTCTCTTTTTCTACATTATGTCTGTGATGCTCTTTTCTTGCTTACAAGATCCTACCCACAAGACGCTATCATCTTCGACGTACACTCAATTTCGAGTAACTTCAAGCTGTCCCTCAATGATAGCGAGAATTGGCCAATCGCCAATTTTTGTACACAACAGAGTTTTCTTAGTATTGTCTTCACCTACGTAGGGTTTTACTACTTTTTGGTTCATGTCTAACCTTTTGAATTTGGAATATGTGAACGCATTTTCTAGAACATATTAGCTGACACATAGTTAGCTTTATTATAGTCTTTGTTATGCAGTATATAGTACTAGTGTTGTAAAAAAAAATTGTGACAAGATGGTTTAGAAAAGTTACAGAGGAATATAAAAATAAAATATTAGATATATTGTGGAAAAAACTTTTTTATATATATATCTTAAAAAACCTTTATTTTACATTATCTTTATTAAAAATAAACGAAATTTAAATTTAAAAAAGGGGGATTTAAAGCTTGAAATTTCTACTTTTGAAAGATTATATTTTTTAAGTTTTTGAGAATTTTTATTATACATATAATTTTTGTGATAATTATAAAATATTATTAACTATATGATTGAATAATAACTTGACGAATATATTATATTGTAACGATAATAAATCGTTTAGATTTTTTTTTGAGTGTTAAAATATTATTTTAGCATATAATAGTTTGCTAATTTTATTATAATAATCTACGTATAATATGATTTTATAATATATTGCAACATATAAAATCAATACCTTGTTAATAAATTTCATTATTTTGATAGTATAAAATTTACTATAGTTACAAACGAGATCAGGCAAAGAGCAACGAGGAAGTGCATTGTGTTTCAGTTGCTGTATTTTACTCAATGTATTTAACGTTATATGCAAAATGTGAATTGTACTGCTAACATTTTGCATAACGACTTCGGTGCAAATTTTGTGTACGTATAATGTTTTACACGTTTCAACACTTGTACGTGAACAATGCGCTTACATATCGTTTCCGTGACGTCACTTACAGTTCTTTATAAGCGGGTGCCAACGCATTTCATTCGATGACTAAATCCCATCTCAGTGTAACAGTGATATGTATAGCAAATTTCTCGGTAGAATAATTCTACACGTACATGTATCATAGTAATAAACGTGTAAAATCTAGAATTATATGATAATTAAATGTTACAGTTAAAATAATTGGGCAATTATATATAATGAAATAGTCAAATAAAAGAAGTTAAAAGTTAAATAGTTTGTTAGCACGTGGCTAATAAATTCTTATAATTGAATTTTGTTTAAGGAAGTGAAATTAAGTTTAAAGATAAAGAAAAGTTTAGAGTGAACTCTTATCCAAATCAATTTATCCGTATCAAAATTTATGAGATATGTATGTCGTATAATAATAAGTTGAATAATAAATTAAAATTCATCCATTAATATAAAAGACAAATATAAAACAAAATTTATTATTATTTGTTGGACTAATTAAATTAATTAATTCGATAATTAGTGGAACATGTTTCATTTATTTAACTTGGTTGTACGATACCGTTTTCTTCTTTATAAAAGAGAGTGTGCAGCTTTAAATTCATAAAATCTTGCTATGCTTAATTGAGAAATATACGTATTGGCAAAATGTCAATAATCCCCAAATAAACTAATAAAGCTTAAATTCGTAGAGTTCGTTCAAAACAATTTGCGTATACAATTCATGTTTGTTTTCATAATATTGCGTCTTGTTGTTGAAATGTGTATTGAGAGATACAAATTGTATATGTACACGGAAAAAACAACCATGGTGGAATTAACATGTTATATTTGGTTAAGCAAATTTTAATAGAAGTAAAAAGAGAATTTCTGGTTATTGTAATCAAATATTTGGTTATGCAACCAAACCATTTAGATATGATAATAGTTAGAATTTGGTTAGTGTGTATGTAATAATAATATCCAAATATATAGTTATTGTGATTACAAAGGATAAAAAGTATAGTTGGCTTATTGTGACATATATGCAGGTTAAAAAAGTATTGATAGAATTAAACAAAACTTCTGGTTATCATAATTAATAGATTTGGTATTCATAACCACAATATTTAGATGCAACACCAACATAGTTTAGATCTTGCAAGCGAACAAAAAAATGGTTAAATTAATATGAAGCATGGGTATAACAACCTGATTATTTGCTTAATATGAATGATCTAAAATATTCGTTATCTTAACTAGACAAATTTTGGTTCTTGACGATTGCGTTTGGTAGTCACCTTGGTATCTTCTCAACTATCGGTTGAATGATTTTCGTTGACGGTTGAATGATATAAATTGTGCAAAAGTTTTCGTGTATCAAAAATGGATCAGAAAACATCGGATTAAAGTGCTGGATTTAAGTGCTATAATTTATTTATATGTATTATTGTCTAACTATACCTAATAAAAAATGTAAGGTTAAACATAATAATCTAACTTAGAACAAATTTTTTTCTTATTATTTTGAACCAGATTGGGGTTGCTCATCGAATGAAAAATTTAGTTATGTTAATAATATATATATATATATATCATGATATTACAACTATTAATTATTTTAACCAGAACATACGTAACCATATATGTTACCTGGTTGCCGTAATTAGAATGCGTGCCACTAAATTTGTTTGGTTATATCAAACAGAAAGTAAGTAACCAAATTTGTTTGGTTGTATTAATGAAAATTTTAGATCGTTCATTTTTCACCAAATAATCAGGTTATTATAGATTTCAAGTTAATTCAATCAATTTTTTTTCCGTGTACATTGATGCCAACTTTTTTATATTAAATAGATATTTCTTTGTTTCAACAACTTATTTAACAAAAATTTCGGATTTACTCTAATTATTTTTATTATGCAAAGACTGCACAGATAACAGCTTTGCAACTGTTGAAAAATTTAATAGAATTGGTTCTTGGTTTTGATTCTTATGGATCTAAATGTATAAACCAATAATATTGAAGAATTTTACAATAGTTGCGAAGTTGCTTTCTCTGTTGAACGCAGCTAAAGTGAATTCATTTTTATACGAGGATTACTTACGATAAGATAGCTTTTCTAATGTATAAATAAGTCCAGACACTATAACTTTGACTTATAAGATATTGCTTCGTTTCTTTCACTCTTATCTAGAGAGTTACAATTTATTGTTAAATCTCTAAGCATTGTATGTTTATCTTTTATAATTATTTTTACAATTGTTTGTGTAAATATTTTGTATAAATAAAAAACTACACAGAATGCAAAATATCATACTCTAATAATATATAAAACATTTATTTTAAACAAATTTAATACAAAATTATTATACAATTGATTACCAAAATTTGAAAATTGAATAATTAAGTGATACAACATTATCCTATACTATACGTATATTAAAGGAAAATTATAATTTTTAGTATTTTGTATATTTGTATACATATGAGCCTCTTAATTGACAAGTGGCATAAGTCTGCCTTATAAGCATAAGCCTTATGCCACTTGGCAATTAAGGCATATATTACCGTAACTCATATTACCGTACATAATTATGAAAATATCAAAATTCATTTAATTTTTTAATTTTATCAAAATAGCTTTAAGAAAGTTAAAAAGAAAATTTTTTTATCAATTTTTACTGAAAAAGAGATATCGCTAAATTTAATGTACAAAACGAAAATTGATAAAATTTGTAGGAAATGAGCAGTTCTCCAAACGTATCACATAACGTAGAAAGTACGATGGTAAAAAATAGTTACGTTGAAAATTAACACACAAGAGAAAAAATTTTCCTTTTAATCAACTTTGTCAAAAAGGACACATCGCTTTTGATATACAATGTATAAGAAATGACAGAATCATTAACAGGAAATGAGCTATTCTTCGAGAATACACTGTATAACACAGAATTCATGGTGGTAATGTAATTAGAGATTGTAAGCAACTGTAAGACACGATTAATCATGGAATTACTGGCAATTTGGTACACATACACTGACCCGCTCTCGATTCTGCTGCATCGAACCGCATGTTGCACAGATCCGCTTTGGTAGTCACGTAGAGTGTACTTGTGCTATGCACTACTAATCTGCATATTACTGCAATGTTTATCCTAATGCAGTGTTCATCAATCAACATTCTACGAGACGGAAGTAACTTCTTTTCACTTTTAATCATGTATTTAACAAATAAGCAATTTACAAAATTAATTACATTGAATAAAAACTCTTAAATAAAATTATCGAATATTTATTTTCGCGTATTTTGCCTTAAAATGTTGTACTTAAATTTCTGAAAGTTATTTAAAGACATTTTTATATCATTTTAAACGAATTAATGTTAAAAACTCACAAAATGTACGTACATTTATTTATCAGTGTTAATTTAGAAAATTATTTTATATTCAAGAATATACATCACTTTTTATAAAAAAAAAGATTGGTA